CGGAGCAATCTGTGGAGCTGGAAGCTGAGAACTGGCGACTTTGCAGTACAACTTTAGTACGCGGATGAGTCATCTCTCGCGGCTGAGTCATCTCTCGCAGCTGCTCTGGCGCCCCTGCAGCTGAGTCATGTCTCCCAACCACCCGGCTCTCTTGAGAGGTTGACACACACAAACAGAGACCCACGCACTGCCTCAACTTACTCGGAGACACACACAGACAGAGACTCACACACACAGACATAGATACGCACACACAGAGACCCACACACTGCCTCAACTCACTCGACTTAACACTTCACACTGAACACTTACCAGATAACTCACACTCTGACTTCCTACATGATGAAAAATGCTTTCGGGCCACTCGTCGTCTAGTTTTTTTTCTATGCGATCACACGCATGCTTTCACATGCGTTCATGGGGGGGGACAAGCAGGCACACGATGCATGGATCGAACTCAATGCATGGATCGATGGTGGCTTGCGCTCAAGCAATATACCCCCTGTCCCACTGGAATTTCAATAGAAATCTGTTCTGCAACTCATGCAAATGGCCACAAAACACCACGGCCATCTACACACGTCGGACCATGGGACAGCCATAAGTTGTTAATGTTTATACTCTCAGGCGAGTGCCACTTTACAATATGACAATACGATTTGAGCTTATTCCAAGTGAGAATAGTTGATGCTTCATAGCTTCAATTGGCTGCTCGGGATTTGGTACAGGTGTACGTAAGGCGTGGTTTGGCATGAAGTGGGACCACTGTATATAGTTACACCCAGGATGGCCAGATCTACCTCACAGCGACTGAGTTGTATGTTGACCTACAAGGCGCCAATCTGAGCAGGGACGTGCCGACTGCTTCTTCACTTTTGCACTCTATGATTTTTGTTCCTGTTTGCTTGAAGCGCTGGGGCAGCTGTGGCAGTTGCTGATGTATAGAGGCGCCGGCAGACATTTTCTGTCCGTTGTCCTTTTCGTCCTTGTATGCTTGTTTATCCCTCAGTCATCGCCGGTTTGGTGGCTTGCTGGTTCTTGTTTTAATATGGGTGGATGGATGGCTTGTGGATTTATTTGGCTGCCAAGCTTTTGCTTTGTTTTTGTTGCATGTACTGTAGCCAGGAAGAGTAACATCGAAGCAAATCTGCCGAGACGTGTTCCAAGGCATTTCTTGGTATCGTTTGCGGTCTGGTTGCATGCTTCTCCAATGATTCCAGACCCACAGATCCCACCACTAAAATGGGTGTAAGATGGTGCAAGTACAACGTTTGATTGCATGCAACAAGTTCTCTAGAATTTGATTGATAGAATATGTAACATGTATCTCCCCTACGTTCAATTTTGCAGAGCTCATTCAGCTGGATTAGCACGCTGAATCAAACACAACAAGGTACAACAAGCCGTCAGTTGGTACTAGCAAGATTTAGCAAGGCTCCTGCACCACAGAATATGTGGTCCCCTTCACCATGCTGGCATTCTGACAAGCGTTGCCTTTACGAGGAACATTCGATTTGACTGTTCATCCCCACTTCATTTGTGTTTTTGCGTTTGCCATGCCAGGCTTTGAGGAGCACATGGAAGCATGCGAGGACTTGTTTCCATTGGCCGAGAAAGCGCGAACGATCCTGGGAGTTGACATGCACCTTCGCAAGCAGTTGGCGCATGTGGCAGCATCAGTTGAAATCATGACAAGTATGTTTATGTTCAGCCATTTCATTGTAGATCCGGCTGTGGAGCCAGATCATGTCGCTCATCAGGACCTGCCAACAAAGTGTGCGAAGACTGTGCTAACAAATCCGATTGCATATTATGGTTGCAATCAGTTGGGCCAAGAGTCAAAAACGGTTTCAGCCTGGAGCCAGCCAATCTGATCTTTGACCCGAACTTCTGAGGGTGACCAAAAGGGAACACCTCGAGATCCTGTGGACGGCCCCATGGACCTAGACGACGTATGGAATCCCATGGCTTTGCCCTTTGCCCGCTTTGTGGCTGAGGCATGGCTCCTCGCAGACCATGAGCAAGTGCGAGATCTATACGCAGCCTGGCGAACCTGGTTCTGCCCATGGTATTTGCATGGATTTGCTGAGCACAACGAGCTCGTTTCTCTTGTGAACAAGTGTGGTTTTTGTGACTATTGGATTGTTTTCAGAGGCCTTTTCCAGTCTTGCGAACACAGGAGGTTGAGGTGAGATAATGCGCTTTGCAAATCCATGATAGTTTGTCAACCGCAAGAACCCGTCAGGCACATGTTTCCCGTGCGGCGCTTCAGCACCTGCCACTTGGCGTCAACAGGGTGTATTTTTGTAGCCAACCAGATGTAAAGCACTTGCGTGTCAGTTGTGTTGCTATTTGACATCGTCCCAATGAAACACTCCGAAAAGAAGATGTTCCGACCTTTCACGACTTGAGCGACAGAGTTTGAGTCAGTTGATGTAATCAAGTTCAGACGTTGGTGCACTGAGTTGTTTGTCTCCCCTTTGCAGTCTTGGCATCTGGATGCAGGTTTTTGGCAGCATGGACAGCGCGTGAGCTTCGAAGGACTGCCCGGCAGTGGGAAAATCTTATCGGCTGCTTTTTGAGGTCTGCAAGCCAGAGACGCATTTACCCCTTTGCACTGCTAACTCCAAAGACTACCAACAATCGAGGGAGACAGAATAGAGTCAACCCCACCAAAATTAGGGAATTGATGAATAATATAGTAGTGGTAGTGGTAGTGGTAGT